GATACGGGGAAACAACGCGATGTAACAGCCTTGGAACGCGGGATGATTGTTGGCGCTCGGAGCCATGGAGCGAGTATCGGCAAAACAGCAGAATTCGTTACATGTTCAGGAGCAGCTCATTGTTAAAGTGTTTAAAGACCGGACTGTCAGCCGAAAATCTGGGTTTGAACGTGCGAATTGTGGCCGTCAGCGACTAGTCAATGTTAGGGCAGAACGGGGGAGGGGCAAGACTGGTACAAGACAACAGAAGGGCAACAGTGCCGTGTCAGATTCCTCGCATCACCTTTCATCATCTCGTGGAGTCACGAGGCGACCCAACCAAGTACTGATGGGGGCGGGGCATAATAATCTGGCCACTCAGTGTATAGCTTAAAGTCACATCTCTCCTGCGAGTCGGGTGAGAAAGCCGAGCAAGGGCTCATTCCATCATACACCAAACAAATCCAAGAAAAGACCCCCCCTTCCCTGGTGATAATCCAATGTGAAGTAGCTTTAATGATCTGGACATACATGTAGCCCCCTCCACCCCAGGACTGCCTCCACTGACCCGTTTCACCCAATACCCTGAATCGTAGAGACGAGTCCTTGTTAGGAATGGCTGGATGTAGAGTACCCTGCCTGGAATGATGGGGGTCCCAGAGGGTTCTGGCCATGGGAAGGAAACTGAACTGAGCATCCAAGCACTTAAGGTTGGGGGTAGGGAGAGGGTACCAGTGTCTCCTGATCTGAACGGGTCTACCTGGTCTGGTCATGGGCTGGGAAGGCAGAGAGCCCGCGGTGTCTAGGACCCCCCTGGGAGTGCCTGACTAGCGCTATGGCTTTGGGACCCCGCTGTGTGACAGAGCAATAGGCCAGGGTACCTCTTGTTTGTTTTTCCTGCACAACACCTCTTAGGCTAAGCCTTATGGCTGAGACCAGGGGTCATTGGGGTCATTTTTACACCAGGCTGCAAGACCTAGCCATTGTATTGCACATTATCACCTATTTATTTTCTCTCCGCTCTCTGCCCACTTCACTTTCTATGTGTGTTTTTTCACTCTACAGGATAACGGTGTGAATGTTTGGCCATCAGGTCCCTTCCTGCCCTGACCTGGGGGGGGGTCTCTCTTCGGGAGACCCCCTAACCCAGTACTTAGTGGTCGGCTTGGGCTGACCTTGAAGAGTGGAGCCTGGTTTTGGCCAGGTGGACCAGAGTGCTTTGCCCCTGCCGGGTCAGGGAAGGCGCCTTTCTCTTCGGGAGAAGACCAGGTCAACACACCTTATTTTTTTAATTTTTGTCGTGTATATTTCATGTGCACTTTTTTGGGGGTCACCTTGGTGTTAGTTTTTGCACAAAGGAAAAAAAAATATATATACACATAAGTTTGTTGTTGAAGGGTTACTGCACTTTCGACAAAATTTGGCCTTACTGGATATAACGTGATTGTTGTATAACCAAAATATACGTCACACAGAGCCAGGAGGAATCTATTATTGGTCACCAGCACAGGAGGGGGGATGGGCAATGTCACCACCTGAATACAGACCCCCTATAACACACAACAGAGGTTCTAACCCTAGCCCCCAGTCTCTCCAAAACAAAAAGTTGAGCCGGAGCTGCGCTTTCAGCTCTGATAACCGCGGGGCGTGCTGGACAACACGGCTC